CAGCCTTCCTGCTCCTACGATGCTGCTTGGCCTGCTGTGTTCATCCAGCTCTACACCTTGTTACCTAAGTACAAGCAGTGTGGAATGCAAAAAAAAATGTGTAAAAGTGTCATAAGGACAAGTCTGAAAGCACAGTATATTTGCAGTAATGTAGATGAATTAACAGTGCAAATATTTGTAAATGGTTAGCATATGATTCTGATTACTGAGACATAATTTGAGGTGATCAAAGCTAGGAACTGCAGATCCAAAGATATTCAACCTGTAGGAAGGACAGGCAAAATGGAAAAGGAGATCGGATGGCCTTTGTTATTGAAAGATGAAATTGATGCAAGAGTGAAAAAGGATATTTGTGCAGGAAATCTAAATGTGGAAATAATCTGGGTGGAACTAAGAAGTAACAAGGGGTGGAAGACAAAAGTGGGAGTTGTCTACAGCCCTCCAAACAGTAACGGTGAGGTAAGGGCTGGCATTAAGCCATTAAGGTGGCATTAAATTAGAGACGTATGCAACAAGGGTGCTACGGTGCTTTAGGTGATTTAATCTGCACATTGACTCGGCAAACAACTTTAGAATGTGCCGGTTGAATTCTTTGAGCGTGTTTTGATAATCTTAATATTTGATAATCACCTCAGGGTAGGCTATCCAAGATTTGATTTTTTGCAGCAAGAAGGGATAAATCAGAGACATTTTCGAAGTGAACCAGTGGAAACTTCCAGAGAAAGACAACTGAACTCCGAGGACTGCTAGCTAAAGAAGGATCAACAGAATTGGGAAGCAAAGACCATTGAATTGATTTTCCATTTTATTCTACCTCTGCCAATAATTTATTTTCCCTATTTGTTCGTCTATGTATAAGAGGAACTTAACGAGAATTAAAGTTTCAGTTGGTATTGTTATATGCCAATGGTTTATTTCTGTTTACCTGTAGCTGTTGTTTAATTCCTTATAATAAATAATAATTCTTGTTTAGGACAGAAATCTGGTCCATGCTTTTTATCAATATTGGTCTGAAAGTCAGATAAATTGGGGTACTGTGCGTACTTTATAAAATAAACTTTAATATATGGTACGACTTCAGGAGCAGTGGGGCTCAGTTTATGGCGTACTACCCCAGTCGGCCATAACATCATCCTGGTGTTACGTCTCTGGATGCAGAAACATCTATCTGTTCCCCTTTGATATAATCCTGTATCACTGTGGCTTTCCCACTCTTTAATTCTCTCCCCCACGCAGGAAAGCCGTTTCTGGTTCCTTGGAGTTGGTTCTCACTGCATTCCCTGAGATCTCATCTCCCCCAGCTGTATCCAAAACAAAAAACCCGGTAGAGAGGTTTATGGCCTGCACTACTTACTTGGTGCTTTTACTGTCTGACAATCACCCTTCTCTTTCTGCCTTTGCATTCCTTAGCTGCAGTGTGACCATCTCATTGTATATACTATCCACGAAAATCTTAGTCTTGCATGTAGTCTGCAGTGATTCCAGTTGCTGCTCCAGATCCAAAACACAGATTTCCAGTAGCTACAGCTCAGTATATGTCCTGCACAAGTGGTCACCCTTGACACTGGAAGCGTCCCTGACTTCCCATATTGCACAGGAGGAGCATTTCACTGGATCAAGCTACCTTGCCATGACTTACCCTTAAATTACTCTATTTCCATTTACTACTTATCGTGCAAGGAATATTAATTAAATAACAGGGAGCTTAACTTATTCCTTATACTTTAAATACTCTTAATCTAAACTAAAGACCAATTTTCACATTAAACGTAGGACAGTAGAAATACTTACCAGCCTTTACTTACCAAAGTCACAATTCAACCTGTTCTGAAGATAGGTCACTGGACCTGAAATGTTAACTCTACTTTCTCTCCACAAGTGCTGCCAGACCTGCTGAGTTTTTCCAGCAATTTCTGTTTTTGTTACCATCAACCTGTGCTGACTCCTGGTGCCACTTAATGAACTTATTTTCCCTGCAGTATCACCTTTTGAATATTTTTGAAACTCACCCATCCTTTTCAAGTCGTGTTCTTCTTAAAACTGTTTTCCAGTGGAGCCACACTTCTGATTTTCTATATCTCTCAAACCTAAAAATCTCCACTGCACTCTCATGCTGTGTTACGCTGCCTCCTTGATCTTGTGCTAACTCTGAACTGTCCACAATTTTCTAGTCCTGCTTTAAGTCTCCCAATTTCATGCTGGCTGTCTACTGATACAGCCCAAGTTTAACAGTATTTTTAACTGTATTTTTCATGGTTTAGATGACCATTGTACAAAAATGTCACAAGGCCAATGCTAGATTTGTCTGAAATACTACTACCAGTGCTGAGTTCAATTTTTGCTTTCTCCATTTCAGGTTGGTGGTTTGTGAGTACAGTGGAGGAGCAGGGCTGGGTCCCAGCAACATATCTGGAAGCACAAAATGGAACTCGAGATGACCTGGACATCAGCACCACAAGAGCTGGAGAAGGTATTGGATCCACCGCTCCAAATATGCCATTTGCTGCTTCACTTAATCGGTATTCAGTGATTTAATTTTTTTGGGTAACGTATTACTCAGTTCCAAAGAAGAGTCATATCAGTCTCAAAATATTCACTCTATTTCTCTCTCCGCAGATGGTGCCAGACCTGCTGAATTTTCCCAGCACTTTTTGTTTTTGTACCTAGTGGCATGTGTTTAATTTCCTTGGGTAGGGCATTGCCAGTGTACTTCCTCAGATACAACAGTGTCCCGTGTAACGGAAGCTAAAGTAGATGTTGGTCTTTTGGATGATGAAGCTGAATTAATAATGGAAAACCAGGAAATGGCAGAGGCTTTGAACAAATATTTTGTATTTTTCTTCACGGTAGAAGACTGAGAATGATTCCAAAAATAATTGAGAAAATCAAGGGGCAAAGAAACGGGTGAAACTTAAAGCAGTTTCTACCATTTGAAAAAAGTACTAGGAAAACTAATATGAATAAAGGCTGACTAATCCCTGGATTTGATGGTCTCCATCTTAGGACCTTAAAGGAAGTGGCTGCAGAGGTAGTAGATGCATTGGTTGTAATCATCCAAGATTCTGAAAAATTGCCAGCAGATTGGAAAAACATAAATGTTATTCTTTTATCCAAGAAAGGACAGAGACAGAAAGCAGGAAACAATAGACCAGTTAATCTAACATCTGTCACTGGGGAAAATGTTGGAATTTGTTATTCAGAAATTAAGAGAAAGATAGTTGGAAAACAATGTATCAACATGCAAGAAAAATTGTGTTTCACACATATAGTAAAGGATGCAACAAGCAGGATGAATAATTGGGAACCAATAGATGTTGTGTTTTAAATTTCCCAAAGGTGGGAAATTCATTAAGGTGTCACATAAAAGGGTATTACACCATTAAAACATAAGATACAGGAGCAGAATTAGGCTATTTTGTCCATCATGTCTGCTCTGCCATTCAATTATAGCTTATATGTTTCTCAATTCCATTCTACTGCCTTCTCCCCATAACCTTGGTCCCCTTACAAATCAAGAACTTGGCTATCACTGTCTGAAAGACACTCAATGATTTGGCCTCCACAATCCATTGTACAATGAGTTCCACGTACTAACCATCCTGTGGCTGAAGAAATTCCTTGTCATCTCTGTTATAAAGGCTGTCCTTCACTCTGATGCTGTGCCCTTGGATCCTAGTCTCTCTTACTGGTGAAACATCTTCTCCATGTCTGTTCTATCCAGGCTTGTCAGTATTCTGTAAGCTGCAATGAGATCTCACCTGCCGCTCACCCCCCCACCCCCCCATTCATCTAAACTCCATTGAGTACAGACCCAGAATCCTCAATCATTCCTCTTATGACATGCCCATCATCCCCAGGATCATTCTTGTAAACCTCCTCTGGAACCCCTCCAAGGCCAGCACATCCTTCCTTAGATGCAGGGCCCAAATCTGCTCACAATATTTCAAATGTGATCTGACCAGAGCATTATACAGTCTAGTACATCTCTGCTCTTCCTAACTGCCAACTGATCCTGCATGTTAACTTTAAGAGAATTCTGAACTTGGACTCCCAAGTCCCTTTGTGCTTCAGATTTCTAAAGCCTTTACCCGTTTAGAAAATAGTCTACATCTCAATTTTTCCTACCAAAGTGCATAACCTCACACTTCCCCGTATTGTATTCATTTGCCACTTCTTTTCTCACTGTCATTGCCTGTCCAATTCTTCAGCTTTGCACTACCTGTCCTTCCACAATCTGCAAATGTAGCAATGATGTTCCCTCAGTTCCTTCATCCAGATTGTTAATGTATAATGTGAATCGTTGTTGTCCCAACATGGATCCCTGTAAAACTCCAGCAGTCACTGGCTGCCATCCTGAAAAAGACACCTTTATACCCACTCTCTGCCTTCTGCCAGTCAGCCAATCCTCTATCCATGCTGGTACCTTGCTCCTAACACCATAGGCTCTTGTCTTATTTAGCAGCCTCCTGTGTGGCATCTTATCAAAGGCCTTCTGGAAATCACATCCACTGGCTCTGCATTGTCTAATTTTGCTTGTTACCTCTTCAAAAATTTGTAACAAGTTTATCAGGCATGACCTCCCCTTGATGAAACCATGCCCATTCAGCCTTAGTTTACCATGCACCTCCAAGTATTCTGCAATCCCATCCCTTAATAATGGACTCTAAAATCTTGAGAACAGCTGAGGTCAGGCTCACTGGCCTATGGTTTCCTGTCTACTGCCTCCCTCCCTTCTTAAACAGGGGTGTTACGTTAGCCATTCTGGACCATCCCTGACTCCAGTGATTCCTGAAACATCACAACCAATGCCTCTACAATCTCCTCATCGAGCTCCTTCAGAACTCTGAAGTGTTGTCCGGATGATTTATCCACATTCAGACCTTTCAGCTTTCCCAGCATCACCTTAGTGATGACCACTACACTCATCTCTGCCCCCTCCCAATTCTCTTGAAGTTCTGGTATGCTGCTGGTGTCTTCCACTCTGAAGACTGATGCAAAGTACCTATTCAGTTCCAGCAGTCCAGTGTCCACTCTTGCCTCTCTCTTAGCATTTAGATAATTCAAAAAACTCTTGCAATCTTCTTTTATGTTACTAGCTATCTTGCTCTTATGTATCATCTTTTCCACCCTTATTGCTGTTTTTAGTTATCCTCTGCTGGCTTTGAAATGCCTCCCCATCCTCTGACTTCACATGAATCTTCACTATCATATGCTTTTGCTTTTGTTTCTATGCTGTCCCTGACTTCACTTGTCAGCCATGGTAGCCTCGAACTCCCCTTAGTATGCTGCTTCTTCTTCCTTGGGATGAATTTCTGCTGTGCCCTCTGAATTACTGCCAGAACATCCTGCCATTGCTGCTCCGTTGACTTCCTTGCTAGGTTCCCTTCCAATCAACTCTGGCCAGCTCTTTCATGTCTTTGTAGTTATCTTTGCTCAGTTGTCACCCTGTTACATCTGATTCCAGCTTCTTCCTTTCAAAGTGCACGTTGAATTCTATCATATTATCGTCACTCCCCCTTAGCAGTTCCTTTACTTTATGCTCTCTACTCAAGTCTGCCTCATTACACATCACCAAATCCCGAATTGCCTGTTCCCTAATGGGCTCTCCCACAAGCTGCTCCAATAATCCCAACTCATAGACATTCCACAAATTCCTTTTCTTGAGATCTTCTACCAACCTGATTTTCCCAGTCCGCCTCCATATTGAAGTACTGCATGGTTACTGTAACAGTGCCTTTCATATCTCGTGATTTATTTTCTTGCCCACATCCTGACTACTATTAGGAGGCCTGTGCACAACCTTTTCTCCTTTGCGGTTCCTCAATTCTACCCACTGCAGATTGTATGCCTTCTGATTCGATATCACTTCTGGCTATCAATTTAATTTCATTTCTAACTAACAACGTAACCCCGCCTTTCTGCCCATCAGCCTGTCCTTTCGACAGGACGTGTATCCTTGGATATTTAGTTTCCAGCCCTGATCCCCTTGCAGCCATGTCTCTGTGATATCCACAACCTGCCAATTTCAATCTGCGCTACTAAGCCATTTACTTTGTTTCGTATACTGCATGTATTTAAGTACAACACCTTCAGTCCTGCATTGACTGCCCACTTCTCATAGCCGTCCCCCTATCTACTATACCTGAACTTAGATTCCTGACCCTCTCCATATTGTCTGTCTTTTTACTTGTTCTGGAAGCTTTTAACTCTGCTGAGTCCTCCCCTACTTTAACATTTTTCATAATCTTCCATGTACCTGGATTACCCTCCCAGGGTTAGTTTATCTACACAAAATAAGAACAGATTGTGTTGGCGTAACATATTAGCATGGATACTGGATTGGCTAAACAAAGAACAAAGAAAATTACAGCACAGGAACAGAAACTAACTAACTAACAGGAAAAGGAATTACTGCAAAATAAGCAGAGTCAATACAATATTAAGGAAGGGAAATTATATTCTTTGAGGATCTATTAAGAAAGGCAGAATCATAGCACTTATGATCACAAGACACTTAAAAACAAAGTTAGAGCCCTTAGAATAGAAGGGCGAATCGAAATATACATACCAAAAATGGCTGAGAAATAGGAAACAGGTATTACATGGGCTGAGGAAGGGTTTATAGAGTTCCCTAGAGGTTGGCATTGGAACCTCTGGATTTCTATAAATGATCTGGAACTTGGGTACAGGTGCACTTTCAAATTTTGTGGATGATACAAAACTTGGGAACATTGTAAACTGTGGGGAGAACAGTGTAAAACTTGAAAAGGATAAAGTGTACAATCTAAAAGGTGTGCAGGAACAGAGCAACATGAATGTAAATGTGCATAAGTCATGAAACGTGGCAGGAGAGGCAGAGAGAATGATTCATAAAATACACAGTATCCTAGTCTTAATTAGTAAGAGCTTAGTGTGTAGGGCAAGGAGATTATGTTGAACTTGTATAAAACACCAGTTAGGCCTCAGCTAAAGTATAGTGCCTACTTCTGGATGCCAAACTTTAAGAAGCTTCTAATGGTTTTGGAGAGAATGCAAGAAAGGTTCAGGGGTTGAGGAATTTCAGCTATGGATTTGGATTGGAGAAGTTGGGACTGCTTTCCTTGTTGAAGAGAAGGCTAAGAAGAGATATACTCAAAACCACGAGAGGTCTAGACAGAGTAAATAGGAAGAAAATGTTCCCACTTGTGAAAGGATGGAGAATGAGAGTGCACAGATTTCAAGTAATTAGTGAAAGAAGCTGATGTGAGGATAAACATTCTCATGCAGTGGTTAAGGCTTGGAATGCACTGCTTGAGCGTGCGGTGAAGGCAGGTTCAATTGAGGCACTCAAAAGGGATTTATATGGTTATTTGAACAGGAAAAATGTGCTGGGTTATGCGGAGAAGGCAAAAGAATGGCACTGAGTGGGATGTTGCATTATAGAGCGAGTGCAGACATGATGAGCTGAATGACTTCTTTCTCTACTGTACA